AGCCAAACTCCTTTCCATCTATGTTGTTTCAGGTGGAAGTGTAAGCTCCCCGTTTTCCATCATCTTGAGCCTTGTTCGTTTGTAAGCAACCCGTTTGTTGAATGCCTTTCTTGAACTTTCTAGCATTTTTGGGTTGACATCTTCATTATGCTTCCTTTTGGGTTCTTTCTTCATTCCAGTGTCTTTAGCTTTTGTATTGTCTCTTTCTAGGTTTTTCATGTCAAAATGAGGCTCATAATTCTCTTTTTCTTTGGCTTTAATTGGCTCTTTGACTGGATATGCTAGTCTTGTAAAAAGAAACAACTCGAAAATCATTGGCATTGACATTAGAGGTTTCGAATAATTCACTTCCTTTTCCACTTTCTCTTCAAGTTCTTTATGCTCCATGAACTTTTGTTTCCTTTCTTCACCTGATTCTCCTTGGCACAAGATTGGAAAGGAAGAGGTGGTCGATACAGCTCGACTACTGAAAAATCATAATCTTCTTTTATCTCCTACGACGTGGCACTATTGCCTCCATGTCGTGTCAACTGGACAAAATCCCAAATCTTTTCTTCTTTTGCTTTTTCTTCAGGCGACTGTTTGGACTGCTGATCTATTGAATCAATGACCCCCATGTGCTCAAATTCCTCCTCTTCTTCTGTATAAACATCCATGACTTGAGAGATTGGGATTGGCTCGGTTTTTCTTGAAGGTGAATCTGGTATCTTTTCTTGCACAAGCTATGTTAATTGTCTAACATGCATGTAGATGCTCATGATATAAGCTTGTGGTTCTCTAAGTGATGCATCTGTACCATCATGACGTTTTTCGCAAGCTTCCATAAATCTAAATAACATTGACTCGAGAGCAGATATTTTCTCAGATTGGAGTTGTTCTATTTGGTAGACATCATGCTTTAGTTTTCGAATTTCTTTTGTATCTCGATTTCTTTTGTATTCCAATTCACAATCCCTTGTAGAATGGGGTCCCCCACAAGATTCGCATCTATCTTGGATTGATCGACCTATTTTTATGATTCTTTCTTCCATTGCATCGAGCTTTGCAATTACTAAACTGATAACATCTTGACCTCTATGTTTACTTTATTTTTCTTTGGTGAAATCCTCCTTTGAGTTGTGATACACTCTTGAATGCTTAGCGAATTCTGCGATCAAAGCTTTATTTGTTGTCGGATCCTTCCTTGTCATGAGCCCTTGTGAGTCTAGAAGTTGGCATGTGCACACATTGACCCCATCGTAAAATATCGAGATTTCTTGTTGCACATTGAAGTCATGTTGAGGGCAATGTCGTATCAATCTCTTGTAACACTCCCAAGCTTCATGTAACGAATCCCTTTCTAATTGTTGAAATTTTTGTATGTTCCTATTAAGCTTCGCCACTTTCGAAGGAGGGGTAAACTGGTTTATGAATTCAGTCTTAAAATCATCCCATGTCGTGATTAATCCAAAAGGAAGTGATTTTAACCATTCCTTAGCTTCACCATTCAATGTGACAAGAAAAAGTCGAAGCATCACCGCATCACGTTTGGTGCATGAAAATAGTTAGAAATTTGCACCACCTCTTCTATATGTTCATAAGCATCCCCGTGCTCCTTTCAATAAAAAGTAGATCTTTTAGCATGCCAAGAATGTGTCCCGGTAGTTCAAACTTTGTAGTGGTTGGGATTTTTGGTGGATCAAGACCCTATATGTTGTCGTTCCTCATATGTCACCTGTACTCATCCATTGACATGGTCGTGATGTCCCCCATTTTTCCTGCTAAAACAAAACTATAAAAACACACGTAAAACACATAAAAACTTAACTAACTAAAATTAAAAAAAAAAACTAACTGAAACGTTACCACGACGTGGCCAAGATGCCCACGACGTGGTTGAAGTTCAGACGGAAAAATAAAATAAAGGCAGAAGAATAACTTTTTGCGGTTTTTACCCCACAAAAAGGATCAAATAACTTAAAGCAATTAAGTTATAACTAAAATAGTTGTTCCCCGGAAACGGCACCAAAAACTTTGATGTGCACTTTATATATCTATCTAGCTTTAAATTTATAAACCTAACTACATAGTTAAATTATGCACTTATAGGCAGTGTACCTAGTCATATTGTAGAATAGCCTGGGTAAGTCGAATTTCGATCACAGAGAATGGTATTTAATTAATAAAATAACTACTAAAAGCTAAACTAAGAAAAACAACTAAAAGTGAGGGTTTTATCTGATTTTACAAGTTCATAAAAACTTAAACTAAAATATCTATTTAATGAATATAAATACGACTTAAAACTAAGAATAAAAGATACTCTCGTTTAGCTTCGAATCCCTCCTTTTTCCTATGGTTTATTTCATGACAATGGATTAATCCGTTAGTTACCAAATAAAAGTTACTAGTCATTGTGGTCAGACTAACTAACATAAGTCAATTTAACGACTTTAACTCCAACGATCATGCAAGTTAAGGACACTAAATTGATTTTAAAGGTAATTTGGAATCTGAATGAAAGAATCTACAGACTACTAATCTTTGGTTAAGTGTAGTAATCAAGCAAATATTATGATCAAATAATGCTCTCTAACACAATTAAGCAACTAACTTATCATATATAATAGGATATGACTAATCACTAACTCTAACAATTTAATGATCATAAATAGCTAGGTAAATCAATTTTATGCAATTAATAGCTAGGTAAATCAATTTTATGCAATTAACTGCAATTTAACTACACAATCTTGAGACAAGGCAATAAAGATAGAAACTTTAACAAGCTAGGTTTAGATTTATCAGACAATATTTAAAGCTAAAACTAACTTCATCAATCCATGAAACACGAAATCAACACATAGTAATTAAGATTTTATCTAATCTAAACGAAAGCAAGGGTTTTTAGCCCATAATCACAGCTGGAAAACATATAAACAATACGAAAACTAGGCTAAACATGATTAAACTAGGAAAATCAAATGTGTAGATGAAAATCCTTGCTCCAATCTCTTTATCCTTTTATCTCTAGTCGAATTATGCCTCTAAGGGTTCTTAGAATGGTTTTTCTTCATTAATTGTCGCAACCCTAAGACCTCTACCCTTTGGAATCGACCTAATGTCTGGAATATTTATAATTACCAAAATCTGGTCCCCACGTCGTGGTTGACCGCCATCACGTCGTGGTCCTGAAGTTTATCCTGTATTCTCCAAGTCAGCATCAAGAAATCGCGAAGATTCCATTCACCACGTCATGGTGGTGCACCACGTCGTGTTCGTTGGGAATCAGACATTTCTCAAAACACGAAAGTCGTCCAAAATTTTGTCTAGTTTTCAGATCATTTTACATCACGTCAATTAGAGTTACGAGTCATGAGATATGGTCATAATAGTGACGAGGGATCAAGTTGTCCAACAATATCATTTTTGTGTATTCTTCTTGCCTAAGCTCGCATTTTCCTGCTTCCTGCTCCTCGTTTTCTTCCTTTAAATCACGAGCATATATTCGATGCTACAAAATATATTTCAAACATAATAAGTACATTTTGTTCCAAAATAAACTTAATTTTAACTAAAAGTATTAGAAATATGCATTAAATACATAGTTAAATATGCACATACTGGGGATACTCAGAGCTTCCCTATCAACATATTCACGAAATCCTTGAGGGATTCCTTAAGATCCTGATCCACCCGATAGAGATCACTAGTGATCTTTTCGAATGTTCCACTACAAGAAAACTGGTTGTTAAAAATATTACCTAAATGTGCAAATGAAGTAATAGTAGGAGGTACATTTAGTATCCATTTCAAGGCTGATCCTGTAAGGGTCTACCAAGACCCTTTCATAGTCAAGCTTCCTTCAAATGTGTGGGAATGGGGATAATCTCCATTCTTTCCCTGTATTGTGCGACATGTTCTTCAAGATCTATAACCCTATCGTAAGGCTTCATACTGGGAGTTTGGAAGCGCTTTGGGACTTCGGTATCAACATTCGTCGAAGAAAATCTTGAGATCCTATGGCTCGTTGGGGAAACGTCTGGTATAGGTTGGACCACCCTAGTCACACTCGAGATCATCCGCCTTAAATGCTGAAGTTCCTTGGCCATGATCAGGCTTATTCCTGCATCAATATCCATGGAGTTAATATTAAAAGTGTTATTATTCACGGAGTTACCAGGATCCTTGTTATTGGGAGTGACGAAGGTTTCGTCCGGATCCTCGATCATATTAGCTTGCTCTTTTGGAGCTACACCCTAAGCAGGAGTAGGGGCCGGTGTTGAGGATCCTATCTCGTGGTGGTTTCATGAGGATCATGTATTGTCAAAGTTCAAGATCTTGGGTTTCAAGATTGAGGGTGCTTCTTCTTGGGGTTTGTGGATCTCCGCCCTCATTCTCTCTATTTCCTTGAGTACCATCTTGTTGTCCTCCTGTTACCGAGTGACTTTGTCGTTGCAATAGAAACTAGCTATTTTCTTCATCATAAAAAGTAGCTCGTTATTGGAAATCAGTACAGGAGGATCCTAAAATCCTTGGGTAGCAACCGGAGAGGTGATTTTCTTCAGTACCTCAGAAGCTTTTTTGGGAGCTCCGCTTCGAGGTGGTGGAAGGTTTTTAAAGGGAAATGAGAGGAATGGAGGAAGATGATAAGGTTGGTTGGGTAGACCTGATTCTCGAATTATGGTGAACACCACGGCCCCACGGTGGGCACCAAATTGTTTCGGTCGAAAATTTATCAAGTATAATTCAACCAAATTGTATGAGAGACGGTGGTGTTAGGATAATGCAAGTGTAGAATAATAATCAAAGTAAAACAAGTGAGTTACAAGGAAAGCCCTTGATCCTTTATATGATCTTCGACATAAAACATTGGGAGGTGATAATGATCACCGGCCTTGTTGCTTTTTATTAAATTTAATTTGAGATTACATAGATGATGAAGATAATACGAGTACAAGTGTGATAATAGAGTTAATCGTGTGTATGGTGTGCAATTTACATGTGTTATTTATAGTCTAAGCTGAATAACAAGAAGTCCGATATTTCCGAAATCCTCCTTGAACAAGCATTTGCACGTTGTTTGACTTGGTATTCCTGAGTCTTTTGCTTGGTTGAAGTGATTCCCCGTTCAGAATGAGTATTGTGTTGACTAATTCTGCACATGTGAGAAAAAAAGAAGAAAAATATAGTCTTTATAAATATTAGTGATAATAGTCGAGATCTTGAAATATGTTTAAGGATCCTAAGACTTTATGGATATTGAGGATCCTGAATATGATTCTAGGAACTTGCCCCTAACATATAATAATTTATAATTAGATTACATTTAATTATATAAAAGAATGTATTTCTGATTTTGAAAATAATATTATCCGCTCTTATGTAAATAAATAAATAAACCTATT